TAATTTCGATTTTTGCTAGAAGAGTTCCTAATTCTTCAAATGGGAGTTTAGTATCGCCAATAGTTTCTGAGAGATGACGTTCAAGCGATTTGACTCCCGCTTCCCACAGTCCACCAAAATAAAATGCTATTGAATTAACTGTTCTGATATAAAATGCCCCAATATCTCGTTGATTTTTAACTGGTTGTATGCTTCTACAAAGTTTGTACCATTGTCACTGTAAATATGCGCCCCTTTTCCTCGTCTTAAAATAAATCGGTCTAATGAGGCAATAAAGGTCTCACTGGATAGGACTAATACGGCTTCAAGATGAAACGCTTTAGTTACGAACAAACACACAAATGTAACCTTTTATTATCTTGGCGTTACGCAACGTGCTTGATTTAAGTTGTATCGGACCAGCAAAGTCAACACCCGTGTGAGTAACCGGTGGGGAAACGGTTACTCTAGCTGCAATTAGATCACCCATAAGTTGGGTGTTTGGGCGTGCGTTGTATCTACGACAAACGACACACTCCGCTATTCGTTTTTTTACTCTGTAAAGTCCGTTGGTAATCCAAAATTTTTCTAGGATCCATGACATGGTTAAATCCTTCCTTCCATGAAGTGTTCTAGTTTGATTATATAATACAATGCAGTTTCCAATTCAGTTGTTACCAGTTGTCCAGTATTCTTCCTTTTTGGATTTTTTGCATTATTACAAAGAGTTTTGATTGGTGGTCTTGTTGCCGTGAGGGAACTTATTTTTAACTCCAACTGTGTTGGTTGAAGTGCGTTGTCTGTTACATTTATTGTATCATTATGTAGCCATTCTGGTCCTGACCACCACAATTTGTTTCGGAAGGATTCCTCTTGACGCTAAGTCAGCGGGATTTTCAGTCGTATTAACGTAATTCCTTGGTGATTGTTGAATGATTTTAACGCGGTTCCACTTACTTGGGTTTTCCTGGAGCCAGAGGAGTACTACTTGGGAATCAGTCCATGCATATAGTACTATATTTGATATTTCTAAATCATCTGTAACATTTTTAAGCAGTTTCATTAGTAATTCTGCTCTCTTTAGATTCTAGTCACGGTATTGAAAGTTTTTGCGAAAACGATGTCAACTTTGTTTTGGAGGTGATTGATGTTGATTTATAACCCGTTTTGGTGCAGTCGTGAGTATATTGCTTCGCCATAAGCTCTACCTGAAGCGTCACAGAACCCATTAAGTTCAAGTGGTTTAGTTGAAGTGTAGAAAAGCCATCTTTGAACTTTTACATGATCTATAAATTGCAATTAGTTGCGAAAATTGATGTTTTTATCATGTAGACGTGACGGTAGTAGTTCATCCCAATCAATATTTTGTTCCATATGTCTTGTAGAATCATTTTTGCGGTTAATACAACTGGTGCTACCCACCCAAGTGGGTTGAAAATTCTGGAAATTTTGGAGAGTACAATCCTTTTTGTGATATATTTTGGTTTGTTCTGCAGGTCGATTATTATTGTAAATTCGTCTTCTTTTGGGTACCATCGTATTCCTAATATTTTAGGTGACTCAGTTTGTACATTTCCCATTTTAACGCATTTTATCGGTATTGTATTGTTTACGAGTTGTAGGTTACCTACCCATTTGTGAAGTCTAAGACAACCGCTTTTTAGAATGTTAACAAGTTGTAATGTGTCTTAAACGGCTTGTTCAACTGTATCGCTATCTGACATTACATCATCTACATACATATCGATTGGTAAGATTTTTGCTCCCACTGGAAACGTATTTTGTTCATCTGTGGTTAGTTGTAGCAGAGTTTTCATTGCTAAATATGGAACAGCAGCTGTTTCGTAGGTAACTGTGTTTAACGTATACTGTTGAATTGGATCATTTGGTGAATATCTCCAAACAATGTTTTGCATATTCCTGCCTTCGTCATTGATTAAAATCTGGCGATCAATGTCTGCCGTATAAGCATATTTGTGTTTTCTCCATCGGGTTATAACAGAAGTTAAATCTTGTTGAAGTTTATTATACTTATATTGCTTTGCGACTTACTGGATCCATCAAATACAACACGAAGTTTCGTGGTCGCGCTTTCTTCTTTTATAACTGCATGATGTGGTAAAAAGTATGAGCCATCTCAGTTGCCTATATCACATCTTTTCATGCTTTGTAACTTTCGGCAAGTTTTTGGTTTCTTAAGATTTGTTTTTCCATATTAATTATTTGTACGATTGTTCTTTTTTTACTGTCATTACTAAGCAATGCTGCCTTATAGTCTTCTCTGAAGGCGATTCGAGCAATATATATCCATTCATTATTACGTTGAGTAGTTGCTTCATAAAATTCTTCACATTTTTCATGTTCTCTCACCATTTCATTCTTCGAAATTTCTTCGGCGGCTCACAATTGTTTGACTTGTGCATAAATGTCATCCAGTGCACCATGGCATATCAAGCTGCTTTTAAGAGTTTTTATTGCTTCAGTACCCGTTACAATCCATCCAAAGACTGTTTGCTGAGCTATTGGATGGTATGATTGTCCTTTTATTATTCCACTAAGCAATATTTCATCAATGACATTTGACCCCAATATAAGATCAACTTTTGCTGGTTTTTCAAATTCAGGGTCAGCTAACTCTATGTTCTTAAGGTGCTCCCATTTATCTCTATGTACTTGTTATTTTGGCAGGATTCTTGTCAGGTTTTTCAGAACGCAAACCGTGGCGGTAACCGAATACTCATTACATTGCTTTGATGTAATTGTTATGCTCACACTATTTTTTACAGAGTTTATTTATTTTGCACCGATTTATTATGGCATCAATTTTCGTTCTTTTGAATTGTAATTGTTTTGCAACTTAATTTGTTATAAACGACGATTGCGACCCTTTCTATATTAGGGCTCGCAATGGTGTATTTTTAGCGTATACATTTTCTGTAGGTAATAAAACTGCCGTATTTTTTGTTATGAAGCAGTTGTATGATTGCCCACCTGAATTACTAGGTTTATTATGTGCTTTTACTCTGCTTTCATCATGTAACAAGCTGTGGTGATTTTTGCTGCATTTCATGCAAGTGCTCTTTGGAATGCACTTAGAATCCATGTTAGAAACATGATTACTGCTGAGACAGTTTGAGCATAAGTTGTGCCTTCTTACAGCTGCCGATTTTTGAATAGTACTCATGTCTTTGAATTTTTGGCATGACTAAATTTTATGCTGCTCTTTACAAATTGGACATTTTTTTACCTTCACCACGCTGTGATACATTAGGTTCTTTCGCTTTTTATGTTTTGGTTTTGTTGCCGGGCCCCCCAAAAATGTCAAACGCCTAAAACCTTGTTTCCTGGAACTGTAACATACCTGTCAATTCTGGGATTTTTTTGGGGTTTGCTTGTTGTCCGTAGAGCCTTGAAGTTTCCTTATAAATTTTTTGTAAAATTAGAAAACTAATCATAGGGCCCCAGGAATCTGTTTCAATGCCTAGCTCTTTTACAGCACAAACGCACTCTTTTGTAGTGTCCAACATGCTTTTTAATCCAGCCGATGTTTCATTATTTAAATGAGGTAGAGATAGCAGCTTATTCATGTATGTTGAGAATAGTATTCTTGTGTTGTTGTACCTGGCTGTTATTAATTCCCATGCAGTAACATAAATTTCACTAGTTACTAGGAGATGTTTTATTAAGTTCATTGGCTCTGGTGACAGTAGACTTTTGAGGTAATGAAATTTTTGAGTGTTATCCAATTGGCTATTTGAATATATAAGCGAATTGAATAGGTTAAAAAAGCTGGTCCATGAGTCATATTGGCCGTTGAACGTTGGTATGTTATTTTGCGGTAAATTTACTTGGTTTTCTTGTGCTCTTGTAGACTCACCAGATTGAATTTGCTTCTGCACACGCTCCCTTATCCTTGTAACGATTTCCTGATGTTTTTCTTCAATTTTTTCGAAATGCTCATATTTTAGGTATTCTGATCTTGTTCATTTGCGGCATGGGAAATCATGTCATCATTTGTTCTAATGATATCTTTCCAATATGTGGTCAAAGTTTCAAGATATTGCACACAAGCTGTGACAGAGTCCTTTTATTGCATGCATTCGACAACTCGATAAAACATTTTTATTTTATTGTGGAATATATTTACATTAACTAAATATAATGTTTGCAAATACATGTGCGTTCATATTAAGTTTGGCAAATTAGCAATTTTATCAATTTTGGTAATTTAAATAAGTGGGAAAACAATAATAAGAAATTTAGAAATCAGAATAATTGGTGTTATACAATACCTCTTGTTGCCTGAAGAGCAAACCTTCTGCCCCAAGCAATCGCCCCGTATGTAAGGAACGGCACCGCCATCATGTTGTACATCCACCTCATGATAGACGAGGAGCATCCCCACGTTCTACCTGAAATGGCCCTGCACACCATGAGGGCCCGGGTAGCCTTTGCCCTTACCACTTCTTCGTTTCTTGTCCTTACCACTTCTTCTAAAGCAGCCATGTTTCACTTCCGTAGAGCAACACAGACTTGACACACGCATCGAATATTGTGATTTCTGTGCCCCTTGCTATTTGTGTAGACCTCCACACCGGCCTCTTCCAAATGGACTATATCTATACTCGTGCCCCCATCAGTCCCTATCACGCTGCCCAAGTACTCAAATTCTGCTACCTCCCCAATCTGGGTATTTTGTAAGTACATTGGTACATAGCTTGTAGAGTTTATTCTCAAGCGTTTGGTCTTAGCGGGATTTATGCGTAGACCGTAAGCTTCGGCCCTTCGGCTCGTTGATGGTTGTTTGCATTTCTTCCGCTGAGTGGCTCAATATGACTATGTCATCTGCATACTCCATACTCTGGAGTTTCTTCGAAAGCTGCCAAGTTATTCCCTTTTTACGTGCTGCTATTTGTTTCATACACTTGTCGAGTACCGTGATGAGTAGTAGTGGCATCCTTGCCTAACCATTGCTGTTGTTGTTATTGGAGTACTGTTGTTATTGTCATACAAAGATCTTATTATATTATTATTTTTGCAGGGATTCTGTGTCTCTTTAGTGTTGCCGTATCATGCTGCGCTTGATGAAATCGAACGCTCGCTCGAAATCTATGAATGTTCCACTTTATCGACTGCTCGATGATCAATTTCAAAGTGTTCGCATGTTCTGTACACCCCCGACCTGGTCGAAACCCCGCCTGTTCTTCACTGATTAATGCATCCAATTTTCCGACTATTCTGGAGTATATTATTAGGGCTACAACCTTTGTAATGCTGTTCAGTATTGTAATACCCCTCCAGTTTCTGCATTGCGTCAGATGTCCCTTCTTGGGTAACTTTATAATTATTCCTGTTTTCCAATCTTTTAGTAAGTTTTCTTCTTGCCATATTTTTCCTATGATTGGTTTCAATAGCTCAGCTGGTATGCCATCGATTCCTTCTGCCTTATTTGTTTTTAATTTTCTTATAGCCTCTATTATTTCTTTTAGTGCGGGGGGGACCCTAATTGTGGTGTCTTCTCTGATGTTTATGACTGGTTCTTCTTCTGCATCTTGGGTGTTAGTTTCTGCGAAGTGTTCTCTCCATCTGTTTAGTTGTTCTTCAGCGGAGGCTATTATCATGCCATATTTGTTTCGCACAGGCATTTGTTCGCGACTGCTTTTCCTCGATAGTGTATTAATTTTCTGATATAATGTTCTTGAGTCACTTCGTCCAGAAGCCTTCCTGGCCGTTTTCTTTATTCTTCTACAAATGTCTTTATGCTGGCTTTTCAGTTCTGTGCTGTTACTGATGAGTAATTGGAGCCTTATACGCTTCCTTTCTTCCATGACAACCCATGTTTCTTCTGTGATACATTCCTTCTTCTGCAGTTTTATGGTACCCAATACTTCTTCTCCACCTCGGCGGTAAACATCTTGTATTTGTTTGTGTGACATATTTTGTTAGCTATTGAGGGCTTGTTGTATGTTTGTTGCAAATTCTTCTTTTGTATCGCCTGATTTTAATTTTTGCACACATATTCGCTTCCTTCTGGAGTTTGCTGGTGCGATCTTGGCCGCCAGTTTTCATTCTTATGTCAGCCGCAACTAGCATATGGTCACTCTGAGCATCTACCCCTCGCCAAGTTCTTACATCCAGCACCGATTTCACCCATCTCCGAGTAATACAGATGTGGTCTATTTGATTTTTAGTTGTGGAATCTGGAGAGACCCAGGTGTACTTGTGTATCGATTTATGCTGGAATATTGTACCACCCACTACCAGATCGTGTTGTTCACATGTCTCCTTTAATCTTTCTCCATTGTTATTTCTGACACCTATGCCATGAACTCCTACTGCTGGCCTTCCCACTTTTGCATTAAAATCTCCCATTAGTATTAGAATGTCAGATTTTGGGAAGTTTCTCGTTTCACTAGGCAGATGATTACACAATCCTTGTACACCACAGCAGTCCTGATTAGTTTGGGTTTTCACAAAATACCAGAAGAACATCGTGAAATGAATACACTATTTGATTTTTTGATAGAAAAAAATAAACTATAAAAAAAATTGGTCTAAACACCTAATCCTTTCCGAAATAGTTAGTTTGTTTGATCCCTCGAGGTGGTTATCGGCAATTCCCATTTTAGCTAAAATTATCATGCAATGGATAATTTTAGCTAAAATGGGAATTGACTTGTATTGACTGGCACCAGAAAGTAAACGAAAACTTAAACAAAGAATGGAAACAATAATTGAAGTACGTGGTTTTTCGGAGGACGACGACGGTTGTTTAGGTCATTCCGACCTGGCTCTTAATCAAAACTTTCCTATTGTAGTACCAGATAAGGATAATTTTTTTGTGTAGAAAAACTGCTTATTGCAATTCATTACCTAATAATGAGGATCACTTTATTGGTCTTTTTGAAACTCCTTATTGCCAAGACGCACCTGGATACTGTACACGGAGGTTTCCAATTCACACTTCATACTATTCGTGTGAAAGTTCGTTTTATTCGTGTGGAAGTCAAGGCCATACACTTAGAAATTATAACTGATTTAACATCAGAAGGTTCCGTGACCACATATAGGAGATTCTGTAGAAAACATGGCAGATGCAATATGATCTACTATGTGACTAATTTTGAGGCTGCAGACAACTATTTAACGAGACAAGCAAAAGTTTAGCAAATTGAACACGGAAATAGCCAACCCTGTTAGAAAACGAGCAGATAAAATTTTATTTTTTTTCTATCTGAAACATTATTCCACATTTGGTGAATTATGGGAGACTGGAGTACGTTAAACGAAAATTCATCTAAAAACAATACCTTGTAACACGCTACTCACGTATGAAGGATTTGCAACAGTCCTAGCACAAGTGGAAGCTTGTTCAAATCCAAGACCGCTAACAGAAATGAGAAGTGATCCCAACGATTTAAATATTATAACTCTAGGAAATGTTCTCATTGGAGAAAACATGATTACACCCCCGGAACCATCTTTACTAGATCCAAAAGTCAACACATTCTACAGATGACAACATCTGCATCAGATGTTTTGAAAGCGCTGGTCAGATGAATACTTACGATTACAGCAACGCCTTAAATGGGCGACTAAAATGGAAAATATCAAAGTTAATGATGATGGTGCTTTTAAGAGATGAAAATTTGCCACCCAGTCGATGCCGGGCTGACTAATTTTTTAAAAATCTAATTTGGCCTAATGACCAAAGAAAACCAATAAAAACAACTTACTAGTCAGCCTGACTTATTTAGGATTCGTTTTATATGTTTCCTTTATGTCGTGCAGGCGATCCGTAGACGCTTTATCGCCCATCCATCTTTCTTTTTTTTTTGTTTTTTCTTACAGGTATGAATCACTAAAAAAATAACAAGAGCAAAATCAGGAATTAGAATGTGGAAACATTAATTACAAGAGTGCAACAATACCATAAACTCCTATAATGTACAAAACGTCTTAATATTTTTGCATATTTGTGTATTCAAACTATATTTTTTTAGGAAAGAACCATTCATTTCTTTAGTACACATTCAAATTTCGTACGGAAAGGTTATATCGCTGAGCGACAAAATAATGTTATTTGTTGTTTAAAATTTAATTTTAATTTAAATTTAGTGAATAATCATATTCATTATTTGTGTTATTAAATGAACTGAAGATATATAATTTATATTAATTATATTTCGCCTTTTGTATATTTAGTTTTGTATATTTAATATAAAACAAAGGTGAACATGAAAAAATAGTACTAAAGTTTATTTAAAGAGAAAAAATCTGATGTGGTCAGCACATAACCCACAGCAATGTATATTATCTAGATTAGTAAAAGTATTCCAGAAGCTTATGAAAATGCATTTTAAACACTTCTATACAATTTTAAGGATACTAATAAGCTTTTAATTAACATACCTAGAATAAAGTTGGGTCAAACCAATGGTTTGTATTGTAGCACTTTTCCCTTCAACAAGTGAAAATCCTACTTTTAAATACAATCTATGTATACCTATCACACTGTTAAAATTATTTTCATTCATATACAAAACTATTTCTAGGATTACATGTATTTAGGATGATGCATATATGCAGTCTTTGAAATAAAGCAAAAATTAATATAAAGTGGGGTTAATATAATGCTCGATTTTAAGGTTTAACTGTGCGAGTTAAGAAAAATAATTACATTTTTTAATGTAATGGAATTTACCGTTAGCTTTTGCATTTATAGAAATTTGAAAAAGCTTGTGGTTTCGCAAATATGAAGCGTCAAAAATTCAAATTTTACTAATTTCTAGAGGCGATAACTCGAGAGGGGGTGAGGATGGAAAAAAATTTTCTTCTAACGAAATGAACTATTTGTTAATGTCTGAAAGCTCCTAAAATTTCAAGCTTCTACAAGCTGGGGTCTAGAAGAAAAACGACATAAAAAATTTGGAAAAAAAGAAGTTTAGATAACGGTAAATTTGAACGGCCATTCTGTTTTTCTAAAGTTTAACTATAGCATACCGCGCCAGGGAAAGCAAACCACTGCCTTTCTGCGTTTGCAAAATTTCAAAAATGCTTATGATTTCATTGCAACAAATAGTTAAAAAAGGCCATTTTTAGGGTTTTGGGGGGGGGGGGGGGGTATACCTTCTAGAGGGAGGGAGATAGATAAAAATTTTGTTCTACGAAAATAAGTTTCCAGTAAAGATCTATGTACGTGTTAAATTTCAGCTTTCTATCTTCAAGGGTGTAGAAGTTTTGTAAACAAAAAGAGTGTCCATGGACGGACGGACAGAGTGAAACTAACAAGCACTTTTTTCAAAATTTTGGAAAAGTACTAAAAACGTGAATTTTGCTCTTAGTAGATTTTCACTTTGTGCCGTCCGAATTATATGAAAAATTCGTCAATAACTTCTGGTAACAACCAGAGCTCAAATATAAAATTTCAAGAAATTCCTACAATCCCAGATCAGTTACCGACCCCTTATCTTTCCAAAAATTTTCAAGTTAATTGTTTTAACACCTCGAATTTAAATATTAAATTTCAATGAAATCGATTGATTATTTTTCGTTATAGAGGCAAAAATATTAAAATACAGTAAAACACGGTTAAGTGGAAATCGATCAGCCAAAAAAATTTTGTCCACTAAAGCGTGTTTTCCACTTATACGAATTCGACATAAAAAATTACCTCCGATGTCAAAGAATTGAATTTATTAAAAACTGGTTCTAATTATAAGTTAAAAATTAAAATTTTATTTCAAAATCAACAAAAAATCAAAAAATTGCACATTTAACTTCATTATAAAAATAACAATAGCAATGGTAAATTAATTTCCCTTAATAGAAAACATACATAATATTGACAACTTACAATTTTTTTTTATTCACAAAATATTTTATGATTTTTGCTTGGGTTTTTTTCCTTACAAATTCAAATTAATTTCAGCTAATAATATTATAACTTTAATTTTTCAACACTCAAAATTTGACAATGACAGAAACTAAAATATTTTGTGTAGCTACATAGTGTTGCTTTTCTTATTTTGTAGTTGAGAGTGTAGTTTTTCATTCTTGACATTTATGCTAAATAAAAACAGGGATGTGCAGTTAACCGAATAAATTTACATATTAAGTATTACATGAGGGAAAAAATATATGTGCAGATAAGCGTGTTGTGCACTTATCCGAATTCCACTTAAACGAATTTTTTTATATGAAAAAATCGAAAAAAGTACAAGCCACGAAAATTTGATGCAATTAAGCGTGAAATCCACTTAAGCGTGATCCACTTAACCGTGTGTTACTGTATATATTTGCCCCGTAGTAAACGTCCAGTTGCTGACACCTGATTTCTTCCAAAATTTATGAAATATGAAATTTTAGTAAATCTGTTGAACATTTTCTTTAAAATTATTCAGCCGAACTTGAGGTACAAGCGTTCAAACACCGACCGACAAACCGGTGGATTGCAAAAAATAGTTTATTTACATTTCCCTACCGTGGAGAAGTGGGTTCCCACCGAAAATTCGATATGGAAAATTTTTTGCCATCACATAACCTACCCATTGTACACACAATGCGGTCGGTACAAATGACTTAATAAATTAGTAATATTTGATATACTTTTTAAAGTATTTATTTCAATAAAATATAATAATACATTTGATTAAATTGTATATAATAATAAATTTGACTTGATTTGACGTACATGCTTTATTTACATTAGTTTACCAAAGAATGAGATCAGCAGATATTTTGTTGCTTGTTTTATTTTGTTGGCAAATATAAATAATTTAATTAATTACCTACTAATGTTAAGATTTTAATAATTTAAATAAGTAATTTAATCTCTAATAAAAGCAAATTAAAAAATTTTGTGTAATTTAGCTTAATTCATGGGTAAATAATTTTAAGAATGGATTAAAAATTTTTTTTATGTATGTAAATATAT